AGTCCTCTGTGGTGGAACCTGTTGTCTGGTAGAAATGTCCATTTTCATTCAATTTTCCAGGAATTGGGACAGGCCATTGTAGAGTAGGGCTGAAAAAAGGGAACAAGAGCGCTTTCCACCAGGAAAAAAAGTCTGGAAACTTGGGTTTTGACGTGCAGTTGTTGGGGTAGCCTGGGCACTTCTTGGGCAATAAGACCTCTCTGTAGTGGCACCTTTTGTCTGCCAGGAATCTTCATTTACATTCAATTTTCCAGGAGGTGGGACAGGTCTATGTAGCACAGGGCTGAAAAAAGGGAACAGGAGCGCTTTCCACCAGGAAAAAAAGTCTGGAAGGTTTGGGTTTGAGGTGTAGTGGGTGGAGCAGCCTGGGAACTTCTTGGTCAGGAAGAAGTTTTTATGGTGGCACCTTTTGTCTGGCAGGAATCTTCAGTTGGAGTAAATTTTCCAGGAGGTGGGACAGGCCATTGTAGAGCAGGGCTGGAAAAAAGGGAACAGCAGCTCCTTCTACTAGGAAAAAAAGTCTGGAAGCTTTGACTTTCAGGTGCAGTTGTTTGTGTAGTCTGGGCACTTCTTGGGCAGGAAGAGTCTTCTATGGTGGAACCTGTTGTCTGGTAGAAATGTCCATTTTCATTCAATTTTCCAGGAGGTGGGACAGGTCTTTGTAGTGCAGATCTGAAAAAAAGGAATAGGAGCGCTTTCCACCAGGAAAAAAAGTCTGGAAGCTTTGCTTTAAGGTGCAGTTGTTGGGGCAGCCTGGGCACTTCTTGGGCAGTAAGAGGTTTTTTGGTGGCACCTTTTGTCTGGGAGGAATCTTCATATGGAGTAAATTTTTCAGGACGTGAGACAGGCCATTGCAGCGCAGGGTTGAAAAAAGGGAACAGCAGCTCTTTCCAAATAGAAAAAAAGTCTGGCAGCTTTGGCTTTGAGGTGTAGGTGGTGGGGCAGCCTGGGCACTTCTTGGGCAGGAAGAAGTTTTTATGGTGACACCTTTTGTCTGACAGGAATTTTCATTTGGAGTAAATTTTCCAGGAAGTGGGACAGGCCATTGTGGAGCAGGGCTGGAAAAAAGGGAACAGCAGCTCTTTCTACGAGGAAAAAAAGTCTGGAAGCTTTGACTTTGAGGTGCAGTTGTTTGTGTAGTCTGGGCACTTCTTGGGCAGGAAGAGTCTTCTGTGGTGGCACCTGTTGTCTGGTAGAAATGTCCATTTTCATTCAATTTTCCAGGAGGTCGGACAGGCCATTGCAGCGCAGGGCTGAAAAAAGGGAACAGCAGCTCTTTCTACCAGGAAAAAAAGCCTGGAAGCTTTGGCTTTGAGGTGCAGTTGTTGGGGCAGCCTGGGTACTTCTTGGGCAGCAAGACCTTTCTGTGGTGGCACCTTTTGTCTGGCAGGAATCTTCATTTACATTCAATTTTCCAGGAGGTGGGACAGGCCTTTGTAGTGCAGGGCTGAAAAAAGGGAACAGGAGCGCTTTCCACCAGGAAAAAAAGTCT